ACATAGTTTGTAAATCATTGTAATTCCATTTTCAATATCTTTAGTTAGTGAATAATTATTTTGGGAGTTTAAATTGTTTTAGCCTGTGCACTCGGTTAAGGGAGAATCGAGTGTGGCGGTAACGCCCCTATTTCCCTTTTGGTTTTCCGCTGCAGAACTCTGATGTTTTCGAATAAAGTTAATATTTCTTTTGAATAAAGTATTATTTTTGGGTGGGAAATTTGGGGGTGTTACAAGTTTCATTCATTTCATCGCGCTTAGCAACATCCTCAGAGTCTAAATAGAGACCAGTCACTGCTCTATAGACTTTCTGTTGGATCAACACGCATTTGATTTTCTGTTTCCAGATATAAAAATCTGACTTTCCGTTAAATGGAAGCATGCCATATTGATTGACAGCCATATTAACCGGAAAGCAAGCACAACACGCAAGAAAGTAAATAAAAAATTATCAAGCAAAGAACAGTACGAAGCAACTAGCACGAACAAGCCGAGACGACCAATGAACACAAAGCTCGGGTACAATCTCCTTGTTCTTTCGTACCGTACGAAGCAACTAGCACGAACAAGCCGAGAAGACCAATGAACGCAAGGCTCGGGTACAATCTCCTTGTTCTTTCGTACAAGCAAGATAAAATTTTTATTTACTCAACAGACAGATAAATGATTAATTATAACCTATAGGGCTATCAATTGTACGAAGCAACTAGCACGAACAAGCCGAGAAGACCAATGAACGCAAGGCTCGGGTACAATCTCTTTGTTCTTTCGTACAAGCACAAATAGGCTAGAATTAAATCAACAAGCAAAGAAACGGGATTTAAAACTAATCCGGACAGAAATATTCCCAACTTCGGACAACAAGTATCCAAACAAATATTCTTAACCGGAGAGTTTATCCACGAATCAATCAACAGAAAAATCAAAATAAAAAATCCAACACGTGATTAAATTTAAACCGGAAGAAATATTCACAACTTTGGACAACGAGTATCCAAACAAAATATTCTTCACCGGAAAATTAATTCACGATTCAACAAGTAATCACAATTCAACTAACAAGTAAATAGCAATTCAACTTGAAATTAAAACAAATGAACTACGAATAAAAAATCACACAAAGGATTAGTAAACGTACCAGGGGCCGGACACAGCCGGCATCCAAGACCACGCAGGTCAGCAGCGGGCAGCGGGGAGCGTGGGGGAAAAAATAAACCCGGTGGCACTCCGGTACACCAAGGATGTTTATCGCCAATTTACCTGAGCGGGGCCCGAGGTTGGGTTACCCGACTTACCGTAGGCAGCGTGGGCTGCTGTAGAGCGTGGCGGTAGCGAACTCGACTGGCGGCAGAGCACCCTGGCAGGCGGCAGCGGGTCTGAACCAAACTGGCAGCAGGCTGGGCTCCGATTTTGGACTGGACCGAGCTACTGGACAGCAGTTGGACTCCGGCAGGTGGTCTGGACAGCTCCAGCGACTTCTGGGAGGCAGCGTACGGCGGTGACGCGGCGGCAGACGGCGGCAGGAGGCTCCCCTAGCTCTGATACCATTGTTAGTTTGATATCCAGCTCAGGTCTCGTCTATTTCACCCACAAAGGATGAACTTCACACACTAGGATCACAAGAAGGAGAAAGGGGCGTCAGCCAGCGGCTATTTCCGGCCAATTCACCTAGGGTTCCACGGAGGAGGTAAAGGTGCGAATCAGAGAGGAGGGGATTCGGCCATCATGACCATCGGCAGAGAAGGATGATTAAATAGGTCAGGCTCAATCGTAAGTATGGTAATACTTACCATACAAGAAGATAGCATCAAATCGGACTGATAATTCCCAGAAGGTAAGAATCGCATGCATAAGGGAGGAGGAAGAAGAGCAGTACGATCGAATAAAACAAATGATGGGGCCGGGTACTCCTTTAGAGGCAATTGGGCTTAAGAAAGGAACCGGGCCAATACTAACAGTATATAACAAAATTATATATCCAGAATGTGAATTTAATGGTCAACATATGCCATATTTAACTGTCTCCTTCGAGGGTTACCCGTAGTTAACAATAGTTGTTAATTTTGGTTGGTATCATAAGTGGGTAATCCAACCCAATTGGGCTAAATATTACGTCGTATACTGTATAGTATTCAGGCTTACCCATCCTAATTGTCTTATTCCACTACTAGAAAAATGGTCTATAGTGACACTAAATTAGTGTCACAGAAAGTTTTTCTGACACTAGAAAAGTGTCAAAGAAGGTCGGGAATTGTGACACTAAATTTAGTGTCACAGATGAAGTGTCACAAATTTCTGACATTTTAGTGTTACAAAATACGATGATACATTTGCAACAAAAAAAATTAAAACACTTATGTGTCATACAAGTGTGTGATACATTTGTATCAAAATATTTCAAAACACAATTGTGTCAAAAAAATTGATGACACCATAGCATCATAAATCTTGATGACTTTTTTATATCATGCAGTTTAGTGACACTGTAATATCATACATTCAGAACTCATATATCCATTCAATTGTACCTCACATTTGCATTCAATCATTAGATATTTCTTTCATAAAACCCATTCAAATAATAATATATTTGAATGTCTAATTCACATTTCAAATGATTACCAAGAATTCATTGCATCCATAAGTCAAAGTAAAAAACAGCCCAACAATGTTCAAAATGGCTGCTCTTACTTAGCTACAAACATTCAAGTTCCTAAAAATACTCGCTTAGTTTAGCTACAGTTATAATACTTCATCATACAACAACACATTAAAAGCCATTCCTAGTTCAAAAACATGTGGCCAAAAGTATGCATGCCAAAAACATATCCTTCACCAAAGAGGACAAAAACATGCCAAAAACATATCCTTCTTCAAAGGGCTCCTTCAAAACAGTCTGTCAGCATCCATTGAATTAGTCACTAATCACTGCAATGAGAAAATTTTTATTAATTAAACATGAATGTAACACACCGACCCATTCTCTCGAGTTTGAATCTAAACAATAATTTGATAAACTGAAATCATGCACATACGCTTTCATCAAAGTTGCTGCATAAGAAACCCATTCTTCCCGTACTTCTAAAATATCTTGCTCAGAATACTCTTTAACAGCAGAGAACTACATCATTATATGCAAAATTAGCATTTAATGATAAATAACATAGAAATGTGTAGAGAACTGCTCTAACTCACATTGTTGAGGATAGAGACATCAGTTACCACATCTTTCATGTATTTCATCATGTAATATCCACATTCCACACATCCAACTTGTTTCGGGCACTACAAACAATGAAACACACAAGCAAATATATATATATATATATATGTATACACACACATATACACACACACATACACACACATATATACACACACGCAAATATAAAAGAATTGTCTCAATACTACTAGAAATATAGTTTTTACCCTCTCAGGTCACTGCACAGAATACAGGAGTAAATAGAGGAGTTTAATACTACTCATCATTACTTGGAATTTATGTTGTTGAGTTGAACTTTAATTACCCCATATTTAATTACCCCATAATTTACATATTTAATTACCCCATGACACACATTCTCTTGTCTGGTAATCTGAACAAATAATATCCTTCTTCCAATTCAAAAAAAAAATACACACACATATGTGTTCTCCTAAGTTCACCCATTAAATATAGGCTTCCAAAGTGTTATGAAAGTGTACTAATTGCTTTTCAATGTTCCAAGCTATTAAAGTGTCCAGATTACTATAACATGCCTAATCAACTTCCTACCTGAGCACATAGTAGAGTTGGACAGTGGCAAAGCCTAAGAACAATAAAATATCAGTCAATAGCTAGCAATCTATTTTCAGTTTTAATTGCAGCATCCACTTTCTTTAAAAGTCAAGAATAAATCAATTATTCTTAAGCCAAAACAAAAAGAAAGGAGGTTGCATGACAATTTAAGTTCAATAGAACAAATACAGTACTTGACCATTCAAGATACTTAAACAAGAAAGTTACTCCTTATATCCTTATTTTATCTTCTCATATGATTTGCAAGCTATTTACTAGTTTAATTTAATTAAAGTAGAAAAATTGTGACAATTATACTCACTAAGAAGTTTTCAATTATATGGCTTCCCAGTTTTCAATGAAAGTCTGGTAATCTGAACACCAAATAATATCCTTCCTCCCATTCAAAAAAAAATATAATACACACACATATCATTAAGATCATAGCTCTACTGTATGGGCACAAATGAATATTACCTGAACTGTGATCCAATTCACCGTAAGCCTATTACTAGACTTAGATGCTTGATACATTTTCACTCCTCTGAAAAATAGTTAAATACATTAAATACTTGAGAATTATGACCTGATCTCAACTAGGGAGGGGGGAATGGGGGATGGAGAACTGCCCAATCAAGAACTGAAATCAAAATGGTCTGAAACTAGGCACTTTTTTTTAACCTGATTATAAGACTCCAATATAATACTTATTAGACCAATCAGCCGCACATTATAAATCCATGAAACACAGGAGTAATACTCATGCACAAGTTGGAGGGGAAATATATACTTAACTGGGTCACAATAACCTTCAGATCATCGAGTGGAACATCTCCTATTGAATCCAAGTAATACACCCTGTCCATTTCTGGGTCAATTGCAACTAATACCCAGTGATCACTGCATACACAGAAGGGTAGACAATTAATATCATATAATTCATTTAGAAAGAATTCTATCACTATTACTACTAGAAAGCCATTAAACTTAAATATTACTATTGATTTATTTTTATTTAAAAGGAAAATATTCCTTTTATTCTATTTAATAAAATATTCCTTTTATTCATATACTAAATCTGTAAGTTTGATTATTAATATCATTAATAATCAATATTAGCTTTATCATTCTTTGAAAATCTGGATTATCTGATTGTGGCTCCCTGACATTCTTATTCGCACTCTATGTCTAAACAAGAGGCAATTTTGTACAGAAAATGCACCCTGAATTGTACGGGAGTAAAGTGATTTGTCCAAGTAAACCGACACCCAAAAGATCTGATACGTATTGTGACCTCCTTGTGATGGAATCATGAGATGGTCTCTTTGGACGTGGTATAGCAGCTGATGTACCAAACTGGACAGGCATTTCCCCTCCATCCTCCAACATTTTTTCATAAAGGTTCCTGCAAATCGAAAAAAACAGTGAAATTTGTACTAAAAATTCCCAAGGCAGATTCATGTATTTTCTAGACACTTACTTGCACCAAATTTCTATCACAGAGTTTGAGACCTTCTCACATTTGATCACTATGCGGCACATTTCCTTATTGAAAACAGATTTTGTTGGAAACCCAAACACCTCTGCGTCATTCGGTATCATGTACCCATCTCCCAGGCATCGCTCAATCAGGATGGAGAACATCTTCATGTTCATGCTTTGTCCTTGTCTTTTCTCTACTATGGACCTTGTTGTTCGTTGCATAGTAAGCTTTCTGACAGGAACCGATTTCTTTTTCATTTGAGACCTGTTGACTTTCAACACTTCCACACCATCATTCCCCAATTCTTCCTTTACACCTTCAAATGGTGTGTCAGTCTTGTGTAATATGTGTCGCGGGGATCTTCTGGGAAGCCGGGAATTTGTTTCAATCTTCTTAGGAGTGCACCTTTGAAACTTCTTAGTTTTGGTGCATTGTTGTTCTTCATCTGCACCAAAGTGGACTGCCACGGGCTCTTCTAGCCAACCCATGTCGTCATCAACATCAACTTCCTAGGAAAAACAATTCATCAGGTCATACTAACTAACGACTAACTGTAATTGAATGAGTAAAACTTTCAATAATAAATGTGACTGAAATAGTACTAATTGCAAACAACATTTACCTTTGGTGATTTTTCAGAATACACCTCTGGTTTTTTGTCCTTTCTCTGTTTGTTGGGCTTTGGTCCAGTTATTGGCGATGCAACTTCTTTCTCTACAGAGGTGTGTCTAGGAGATTTACTCAGTTGACTATGGATGCGTGTTTTCTTGGGAGTATGAGCCGGCTTTTCAACCTCTACAGCCACCTAAAATAATCATAATATAATTGTCGGAGTTAGTGGAACAAGCTGTAAATTAAAAAATATACACACTACAAAGATAAATATAAACCTTTCGTTTTCCAATTTCACCACTTGGGGACTTCGTTGCGACACTGCAACTACCAATGTCACTACCGGCGTAGGAACTCAACTGTGCTTTCATATCACGAAGTTGTTCTACCATCATCTCATATCTCTTTTCACAAATGCTTTTTTCTTTTTGCCTCTCAGACATGCATGGTTTTGGCATGTCAAAGTACATAGATGGGGTAATGAAGTGCCCCATTCCTTGTACTCGACTACCATTTGGCTTTTTTCCAAGAGCAAGTGTCATAACATCATTCACACCGCTAGCCACAAGGGAACCTTCATCTACTTTAGTTTTCATCTCCTTCTACAAAAATATAATTACAATAATATTTATTGTTCAAGCATCTTTCTCTAAGTGAGAAGCAAGGAATAAATGCATTAAAATGCATTTAGCATTTAGCACATGAGAAGCATTCAATAAATGCAAGGTACTTCAGAAAGCTTTTTAGTATCTAGTTGTACATTTCTTGTTTGTTTGTTATTCACCAGATGGAAGTTAGTGATTACGATCCATTTGCATCAAAAAGAGTAGAAAGGTAATTAGTCTCAAAAGCAAACTGACCTAACACATAACGTACTAAATGCCAAAATTTAACAAGATACTAAGTATCTAGAATTCTATCTAAACGGATCTCTGCTGAAACTGATGCACTACGAAATTTCATAGACCAATAAAAAAAGAAACGTTTTGCCTTTATGTGAATATAGATGAAGACAACCCACATTCAGGTAAGGTTAAATCATTGAAGCAATCTTAATATCCTGATAGAGTAAAATCTCAAACTCTTTTATTTGACAAGAAAATATTAATCTATCCATAAAGAACCATGGCAGAGTAAATAATTAGGCATTCGCAAGAACCCGTACACATCATCCCAAATTCACAGCTCAATAGACATGTCAATCAAGCTTTATAAATTTACAAATTGATCAATCAAGCCCACTTATGGTAGGATCCTATAAAACTCACATTTAATTGAACAAGGCCAGTTTATAAATTTTGTTGAAAACTCTTATATGCTAACTACATCCCAGATTACGGTTACAAATTGTATACACTTATAAATGTGAAAAGCTTATATTTACTTTCACTAGCTTTAAAATAAACCCGATTTAAAATGTGAGTTATATAGACTTACTATTTTTTCTACAATAGCTTTCACTTCATCATCAAATTCTCCATCTTTGCCCTGATGGCCCCATACCCATGTATCCGCTCGATCAATGTCCACAACATTAGCTCCAAGCTCCTTTTCCTATCATTTACAAACATAAATACTTTTTTTGGAAGAAACAAACATAAATACTTTAACAATTAAAAGTGTAGAAGACAGACTTAAGCAAAGATATATAATTGCTTAACATATTTAATGTATTTTTAATTATGCAATCATTATGCATATTCAAATTAAATTAACCTTCTTCTTGAGTAAGCCTGCATAACCAGTAGAACCCAAACGATGGTTATACTTGTTCTTTTTCCTCATATCTTTTCCTCTTTGACTCTTTACCTACAAAGATTGGAGTAAGATTATGCTAGGGAAGTATCTACAAATGAACAAATACAATATTACATTGTAATACATATATGCTACTAATACTTACTTGAAACTCTTCTGTGAAAGTCTTCTTCACAAAGACTCTCCACTCATCAGTGCGAATATGCTTATACCGTTCAGGAGGGTATCTTAGCTTTGTCAAATCATCCATGTGCTGTAAGATGAAATCATTCCGTAACTCAAACCGGAATTGTCTCAAAGCAACACTCATGGTGGCAAAAACTTGCTTCTTAGACCTTGAAGTTAGCACAAACAGTTCCTGGAAGAATAAATATTAACACAATCAGTAAAAGTGGATATACAAAATAAAAAACAATCACAAAATTCCATTCTAATACAATTTGATTATTGCACACCAGAAGATATTTCCACAACTCATCTTTGACTTTATCAGGTACATGTCGCCAGTCGTCATAGATAATCGAAACATAATCCTTTACCAAGACGCCACAGTAGTTAGTCAGGTTTGTCCAGCCATCACCGCAATGAACACCAAATGCATTCACCTCCACCGTTATTCTGTCATCACTAGCTTTCTGCAGCAACATTTTTTTCTTCGTTTTCTGTCTCCTCTGTGGCCTCATTATACACTCCTTAGGGAAGTCCTCAACATCATCATCGAACTCATCAGTATATTCTGGAACACTCGACATGGCTCACTGTAACAAGGAAAAGTAGCTCTATTCAAACAGTAACATAATGTATACAAGACAAGAACAACCTTAATTAAGAGAGGAATGTAAAGCAATTACTTACAAAGAATAAAAGAATAAAAGAATAAAAGAATGGAGTCGATTTCAGATCAATTAAGTGTAGGAATCACATCCACGTCGACTCTAGTATAAATCTGGTCATCATCCAGATTATCCAAATCAATAACAGGCAGTGGATATTTTAATGTTAGTGGTTCATGTATAACAATTTCAGCAGATCCGAAATCTAAGTTGTTACTTGCTCTCTGACCAACTGAACATACAATTGATTTTTTAGGGTCAAGTTGATCTTTTACATAGAAGACTTGTTTAGCATGAGAAGCCAAAATAAAACAGTCATTTCTATGACCAATTTTATTCAGATCGACTACCGTGAAGCCCAATTTATCTTTCTTTATATGTCTACTATCAACCCAATCACACTTGAATACCACCCTCTTGGTCATGAGATAGTTCAAAACCCAAATTTCATCTAGAACGCCATAGAAGCTGCTGTCTTTAGAACTTGAGACTTCAATTGTGTCTGCTACAAGGGTAACACCACTGTTTTGGGTAACACGAATTGAGTCTTTGTCCTTCGTGGCGAAATTGTAGCCATTGACAATATACCCGGCATATAACGTCACACTTGTGTTTGGTTTTTTAGCTAAACACCTCACTGTTTCGTCTACAATAACACCCTTGGCAACTTCACCTCTCACCTAGAACAACACATTAGTAGTTATTAATATGTAATTATGAGAATCAATAGTTTTAATGCACGATATTAGTTAAATTTAATTTAGTTAGAACTACCTTGTCTTCAAACCACTCAGTAAATGTACGATAATGTTCTGTTTCACAACAGCCAACAAACTTCGATTGTAGGTGCAACATATGCTCCCTAACATTTAATTCAAACAATTTATTAAAAATTCAACTATTAAAAAGCATGGGTGGTATTCAAAATGTCTAACTTTAGACTTACTGTATGTAGGGCTGAACTTGTGGGGTATTAAATAAAACAGTGCGATGAGCTTGCTCCAACAATGACAAATCAGCCACCTTGATATCTCCCCTTCCCACAGGCCTTTGAATTGAAACACCATCATCATCATCATCGTCATTATTTGTCACGCCCCAGACCGCAATCCAAGCGCGTGTACAACCGCCGTGAAATCAAGTGATGTCACCCGCGAGTCAACCTCACTTGATTACACAAGGCGTTCGAGAAAAATAATCCATCCATACTCAGTAGTAAACATACATAACAACATCACATTTAAACCAATGAATAGCGGAAATATTCAACGGTAAGTCATAAGCCACAACCGGCCAATAACATGGGCATGCAAGCCCCAAAAGAATAGTTTATAACAAATAAAAATATCCATGAGCAATGGTTGGTAATTTGAAATAAAATGAGGAAGCACGAACCACGTCTTCCTTGATTTGATGTCACCCGTAGGAAGGTGCAGGTGGCAAGCCCTAGCTTCAACCTGAGAATGGTGGGGCCCCCCGAAGGGGTCAGTACAAGTACCGAGCGAGTAGCAGGCTAAATATAGAATAACTAGCGTTTCAAGTATAAGACCCAAACATAGGATGATACATATACGTATAGTCCTTCCCCCAAGTTTGAAATACATATTAGTATACATACACTTGGAAATACCCGACCCGTAGGTCATTGTTTATTTGGGAAAATAATAGTAGCCAATATCCTTGACTTAAATCCCAACCCACCCATATACCTATGAGTGTATAGAACTCCTCCTTGTTCAAATAAATTATCATAAGGACACCGTCCGGTCCTAGATCATTAAATGTAGCCTATGAGTTTTGAGGATACACGCCCGATCCTTGGGTACTCCACCCTATAACCGAGTTTTGAGGATAACCGCCCGATCCTTGGGTACTCCACCCTATATAACCGAGTTTTGAGGATAACCGCCCGATCCTTGGGTACTCCACCCTATATAACCGAGTTTTGAGGATAACCGCCCGATCCTTGGGTACTCCACCCTATATAACCGAGTTTTGAGGATAACCGCCCGATCCTTGGGTACTCCACCCTATATAACCGAGTTTTGAGGATAACCGCCCGATCCTTGGGTACTCCACCCTATATAACCGAGTTTTGAGGATAACCGCCCGATCCTTGGGTACTCCACCCTATATAACCGAGTTTTGAGGATAACCGCCCGATCCTTGGGTACTCCACCCTATATAACCGAGTTTTGAGGATAACCGCCCGATCCTTGGGTACTCCACCCTATATAACCGAGTTTTGAGGATAACCGCCCGATCCTTGGGTACTCCACCCTATATAACCGAGTTTTGAGGATAACCGCCCGATCCTTGGGTACTCCACCCTATATAACCGAGTTTTGAGGATAACCGCCCGATCCTTGGGTACTCCACCCTATATAACCGAGTTTTGAGGATAACCGCCCGATCCTTGGGTACTCCACCCTATATAACTGAGTTTTGAGGATAACCGCCCGATCCTTGGGTACTCCACCCGACCTATGACTTACCACATATCACACTAGATAGGGTCTATATCATATTTAGCCATTCATAACTAATCCAATACATAAAACTTATGTATCACATTCCATGCAAAGCCATGCAATTATGTAAATGTACAATTAATTAATATCGACCGGTATTAATTAATCCATTATCCACCGGTCAACGTGGTCGTTGACCGCCATTTCAAACCTTGTACAAATCAACTTAATCATCGCATAATTAAGTTAAAATATTCATTTGTGCTTCTAATACACTTCAAGCAAATATGCATTTTATATAATTCTTCATATCATATTCTATGCATAAACAATCTATTTCTTTCATACAAACTTAACTATGTTGGGTAATCACATGTTTAAATATCTTTTAAACATCATTATGCACACATATAACATTTATTTAGGTAATCTCATAATTGACCCAAAAGTTATAAGATATTAAGCCGTCCACTCACCTTGAACTAGCGTATGAAGTTCTACCCTTCTTGGTTGAACTCCGGTGAAACTCCGGCGACTTTTGGTCAACTCCGGCGAAAACTCCGGCGACTTTTCCAACTTTGTGAAATCACTTGAGATACCCTTTACAAGTGCCTAACAAGGTTTTAACATCATAAAACCTTAATCAATACAAATAACCTATAAAAGGTTATTTTCCGGTGAACCGGTCGTTTTGGCTTCTAAGTCCGTTCTTGGACATAGAATCACTTTCCAACCCATTAATCCATACTTATAGCATGTAGAACCATACTAGGGGTCCTTCACATGATATATACCTCATATGGTAGAAGAAAAATAAAGGAGAAGTTATAATAAGGTCATTACCTTAATTATTCACACTTTTCCCAACTTTTTCCCTCTTTAATCTTCCTTCTTGGAACCCTATGGCTTGAGCTCGAATTTTGGCTATGGAAGATGAGTTTGCAGAGGTCTCCTTGTTCTCTTGGTGTGCCTTGGCCGAAATTATGGGGTGGGTGAGTGAGGAGATAGCCTCTTTGGCTTTTCTCTCAAAATAATGTGGGAATGGGTCCTCCCCATTGTACTTTTGATGCCAAATGCATCTCCTCCTCATTTCCTCTTGTCAACCCAGCTCTCAATTGATGTGTTTAGCACATAAAAAAAAACGTGGGGTGGCCCCCACTCATGTGGGAGGTCATCCCTTTGTGTCCCGATGTGTACAATCGGTCCCGAAAGTTGTATTTTTCGGACTGTTTTAAATATATTTTATTTTATCAGGTCAAATAAAATATATTATGTGCTCTTACTCATTATGACATGTATAATGAATACACATTCCCCAACTTTAATTTATAAACCTCCGAAATTCATTTCCGGGCTGTTATCTGTTAAATTGTCGGTACCGGTAATTGGGCCTCTTTTTCCCAATCGGTCAACTCTGCGCCTTTTCACGACCCAAATAAAATATCCACCACTATGTAAATATTATCTTGACCAAGATGAATAAAATATGTGGTCTCGGGAGTGTCGGGCGGCCCCCGCTCCCGGTGTGGGTCCCACGTGCAATTTACTATTCACGCGAAAGAAATAATAAAAAATTTACAACCTCGTAAATTCATTAATCCTTTAATAAGGTTCAATACATTATTTACATAAAAGTAAATATATTTGGGGACGGTGTTACAAGTTCACCCCCCCTTATTTGGGATTTCGTCCCCGAAATCCAAGTATCTAATCGAAAAGAAATGGGTATTGCTCCCTCATTGAGATCTCGGTCTCCCAAGTTTCTTCTTCGACTCGATCACTCCTCCAAAGAACCTTTACCATAGGAATCTCCTTATTCCGAAGCTTCTTCACTCGTTGACCAACAATCTTCACTGGTTCCACCGCATATTGCAAGTCCTCACGGATCTCTACCGGTGGTCTCTCAAGAATATGAGATGGGTCTCGTATGTACTTCTTGAGCATTGATACATGAAACACGTCATGTATCTTCTCAAGTTCAGGCGTCAACTTGAGACGGTAAGCCACGGCCCCTATTCTTTCAAGGATTTCAAATGGACCGATGTATCGGGGATTAAGCTTTCCCCTTGATACAAATCGAATGATGCCCTTCCAAGGAGAAATCCTTAGGAAGACCTCATCACCGACTTCGAACTCTAACGGTCTCCGCCGTTTATCAGCATAACTTTTCTGTTGGTCCTGAGCGGTCTTCAGTCTGTCCCGAATGATCCTCACCTTGGCCTTGGTGATCTCAACCAGCTCTATCCCTTCGAGTTTGGCCTCGCCAACCTCGTCCCAACACAACGGTGTTCTGCATTTCCTCCCATACAATGCCTCATATGGGGGCATGCCGATACTTGCCCGATAACTGTTGTTATAGGCAAACTCCATTAGGGCCAGATGCTTGTCCCAACTTCCTTGGAACTCCAGCGCCCATGCCCTAAGCATGTCTTCCAAAATCTGTATCACCCGTTCAGACTGTCCATCCGTCTGTGGGTGAAAAGCTGTGCTAAACTTCAGTTTAGTACCCAACGATGCTTGAAACTTTGGCCAAAATCGGGATGTGAATCGTGGGTCCCTATCCGAGACAATGGATATTGGGACTCCATGCAATCTCACAATCTCCTCTGTGTAGAGCTTGGCCAATCTTTCAAGAGGATAAGTAATGTTGATAGGCAGAAAGTGTGCACTCTTGGTGAGCCTATCAACCACTACCCGTACTGCGTCATAGTTGTTCACTGTTCGTGGTAGCCCCACCACGAAGTCCATGGTAACGTGCTCCCACTTCCACTCTGGGATGGTGAGTGGTTGCAAAAGCCCTGCCGGGTGCTGATGTTCTGCCTTAACTTGCTGGCAAGTAAGGCATCGACTCACATACTCTGCGATGTCTCTCTTCATACCTGACCACCAGTAACTTTCCTTCAAATCTCGGTACATCTTAGTACCTCCTGGATGCATAGCATAAGCCGAAGAATGAGCCTCCTCAAGTATAGACTTCTGGAGTTCCTCATTCTTTGGTATGCATACACGATCCTTAAACAATAATAGACCGTCATCACGTACTCGGAAGTTCTCAACGGGCCCCGCAAGGATCCTTTCACGGATCTTCTGACATTCCTCATCCATGGCCTGACTTCGACTAATCTCGCCCAATAGGGTGGGCCTAACCTCGAATCGAGCAATGAGAGCCCCACACATGGACACCTCCACGCGTGCCCCAATGCCTGTAGACATGTGAGTAGCGTCCCTGTCGTATTCTTCCTGCTCAGTGCGTCGGCCACGACATTGGCCTTTCCGGGATGATAGTCGATGATCAAGTCATAGTCCTTGATCAACTCCATCCATCTCCTCTGCCTCATATTCAACTCTTTCTGAGTGAATACGTACTTCAAGCTCTTATGGTTTGTAAAAATGTGACATGTCTCCCCGTAGAGATAATGCCTCCAGATTTTCAGTGCAAACACTACCGCCCCTAATTCTAGATCATGGGTAGGGTAGTTCACCTCGTGCTTTCTTTATTGCCTTGAAGCATAGGCAATCACTTTACCGTTTTGCATCAGTACACATCCAAGCCCTTGGATGCTAGCATCACTGTAGATATCATACCATATCCCCTGTATGGGTAGGGCTAGGACTGGTGCTTCGGTAAGTCGTTTCTTCAGTTCAAGGAACCCTTTCTCACACTTGTCGTCCCATATAAACTTGGCCCCTTTCTTTGTGAGCTTCGTTAATGGGGACGCCAATACGGAGAATTTCTCAACAAATTTACGATAGTATCCCGCTAGGCCAAGGAAACTACGTATCTCTTTCACATTCTTGGGTCTCTCCCAATCCATGATAGCTTTTATCTTGGCGTTATCCACAGCAACGCCCGAACCAGATATGACATGACCGAGGAAACCAATCCCCTTGAGCCAAAATTCGCATTTAGAGAACTTGGCAAAGAGTTGCTTTTCCCTTAGCCGATCAAGTATAAGCCCCAAATGATGTTCGTGCTCCTCCTCGCTCTTGGAGTATATTAAGATATCGTCAATGAATACTATCACAAATTGGTCTAAGTATTCACTAAACACACGGTTCATCAAGTCCATGAATGCCGCCGGTGCGTTGGTTAAACCAAACGACATCACCGGGAATTCATAATGACCATATCTAGTGCGAAATGCACTCTTAGGTATGTCACTCTCCTTGATCTTCAACTGATGATACCCCGACCTCAAGTCAATCTTCGAGAACACTATTGCTCCTCGAAGTTGATCGAACAAGTCATCAATCCTCGGTAAGGGATACCTGTTCTTGATGGTGACCTTGTCCAACTGTCGGTAGTCGATACACATTCTTAATGTACCATCTTTCTTCTTTACGAATAGTACGGGTGCTCCCCACGGTGAATGACTGGGTCAGATGAACCCGTTGTCCAATAGTTCTTGTAGTTGGACCTTCAACTCTTGAAGTTCGGCCGGTGCCATTCGATAAGGAGGAATCGAATTGGGTTTGGTCCCCGGCTCCACTTCGATTACAAATTGAATCTCTCTATCGGGTGGAAGCCCCGGTAGGTCCTTGGGAAAGACGTCCGGGTACTTGCACACGACTCGAACATCCTTGATGTCGACTTCTTTCTTCGTATCATCTACCACGTAAGCAAGGTATGCGTGACATCCCTTCCTCATCATCTTCCGTGCTCTCATCACGGATATGATACAAGCATTAGATTTCCCCCGATCTCCTTCGAAACATAGCGTGTTTCCTTGATCATCCTCGAGCTCCAACACCTTGGTGTAACAATCTACTCGAGCATGGTGTTTCTCGAGCCAATCCATTCCTAGGATTGCATCGAACTCCAACATGCTCAGAGGTACGAAATCACAAGTCAAAGGTTGACCCGTCACTTCTACCTCACACGAGGGATAGTAATGATCTCTCTCCACGTCGTCTCTTAACGGTGTGGAGACTAGCAACGCTTGCGTCATAGATGTCAATGGCACGCCAAGGCCCTCGGCGAACGCCTCACTCACGAATGAGCGTTGTGCCCCGGTATCGATGAGGATCCTCGCACACCTACCATTGATCTTTAATGTTCCTACATTTATACACCATGTAAGATACATTTTCTAGTGTTTTTACACATCTTTAGGAGGTTATTAAGTTAATACTAATGTTTGGAAACAAACGGGGGTCCAAACGTAGAAGAACGGGGCGAAAAAATCAAGTTTCGGGTGTTGGGGGTCCACGCACGGCGTGCCTGGGTGGCACGCACGGCCGTGCGTGCAACAATCTCACCCTGCTTGCCACTGCCGGCCAGGCACGATGCCAGGCACGGCGTGCCTTCGGCCGTGCCTGGCCAAAAATTCCTTCGGACACACTGCCTTCCAGGCACGACGCCAGGCACGGCGTGCCTGCGGCCGTTCCTGGCCCAATATTTTTTTTTTTTTTTTTTTTTTTTTTTTTTTTTTTCTTCTTCTTCGGGTGCCACTGCCTTCCAGGCACGATGCCAGGCACGGCGTGCCTGCGGGCGTGCCTGGCCAGCAGTGGCTGTTTCCAGCCCGATTCGGCCTAACTCACCCGGTTTGACCCCGGGGTGGCCCGCACTCAATCCCAACGACGTATATGACCAAAGTAAGCCTAGAAATACATGGGAATACGTGTTTACCTGCAACGGAGTCCGGGTTTGCTCTCGCATCCGCCTCGGTCATTGCGTAGACCCTTGCTTGGGCCCCGCCTTGATTGACGGACGTAGCGTTGCTCATCGTTGGTTCCGTATGGTTTCCTTCCACGGTGAGCCCTTCCTCGGCTTGCAATGTCTCTCGTTGCCTCCTCCATGGGCAACTTAATTTCATATGGGTTGTGCTCCCACATTTGTAGCACATCGGGGGCTCGTTGCACTTTCCAAAATGTTTCTTAGAGCAATTAGAACATTTGGATGGTCTTAAGGAGTAAGGAAAGGACGTGTGCCACTTTGAGTTCCTTTTCTTTTTCACCGGTGATGCCGGTGCCGTAAGAGTGCTTTCTCCTCCTTGGTCGTTTGCCCAAGGATGGGTTTGGCTGACAGTCATATTACGTTGGGAGGTGGCCCGATCTCGCCTCGCCTGACGCCTACGTTCGTTCCTCCTGGTGTTCATGTTACACATCGAGCCCACTTGATTAGCGTTTGCCGCTTGGCGGCCCTCACGGCCCCCATGGCCTATTCCTCTCCCCGTAAAGGCTCGTGACACAGCCCGGCTAGCCTCAAGGTAAGCTACCGACGCTTGTCCCTTAGGGTCATTTCTTGTTGCCATTCGCTTACCCTCCATTTCTGAAACGGAATTTGGACGAGTCTTTAGACTCCTATGAATGTCAATTGACAGAAAAACGTTATAGACACGTATCGACCCAAGTCACCACCATACCAATTGTTAAGGGTACCGTCTTAACAATTAGAGGCCTTGCAACTTAAGCACCAATAGTCCTATAAACGTCAAAATACAATGCTCATGGTTTTCGGTAAGAACTCTTTTGTAAAATCTTTTGTGAGAGGTTGATTATATAGTTTAGAACTGAGATGGCTCTGATACCACTTAATTGTCACGCCCCAGACCGCAATCCAAGCGCGTGTACAACCGCCGTGAAATCAAGTGATGTCACCCGCGAGTCAACCTCACTTGATTACACAAGGCGTTCGAGAAAAATAATCCATCCATACTCAGTAGTAAACATACATAACAACATCACATTTAAACCAATGAATAGCGGAAATATTCAACGGTAAGTCATAAGCCACAACCGGCCAATAACATGGGCATGCAAGCCCCAAAAGAATAGTTTATAACAAATAAAAATATCCATGAGCAATGGTTGGTAATTTGAAATAAAATGAGGAAGCACGAACCACGTCTTCCTTGATTTGATGTCACCCGTAGGAAGGTGCAGGTGGCAAGCCCTAGCTTCAACCTGAGAATGGTGGGGCCCCCCGAAGGGGTCAGTACAAGTACCGAGCGAGTAGCAGGCTAAATATAGAATAACTAGCGTTTCAAGTATAAGACCCAAACATAGGATGATACATATACGTATAGTCCTTCCCCCAAGTTTGAAATACATATTAGTATACATACACTTGGAAATACCCGACCCGTAGGTCATTGTTTATTTGGGAAAATAATAGTAGCCAATATCCTTGACTTAAATCCCAACCCACCCATATACCTATGAGTGTATAGAACTCCTCCTTGTTCAAATAAATTATCATAAGGACACCGTCCGGTCCTAGATCATTAAATGTAGCCTATGAGTTTTGAGGATACACGCCCGATCCTTGGGTACTCCACCCTATAACCGAGTTTTGAGGATAACCGCCCGATCCTTGGGTACTCCACCCTATATAACCGAGTTTTGAGGATAACCGCCCGATCCTTGGGTACTCCACCCTATATAACCGAGTTTTGAGGATAACCGCCCGATCCTTGGGTACTCCACCCTATATAACCGAGTTTTGAGGATAACCGCCCGATCCTTGGGTACTCCACCCTATATAACCGAGTTTTGAGGATAACCGCCCGATCCTTGGGTACTCCACCCTATATAACCGAGTTTTGAGGATAACCGCCCGATCCTTGGGTACTCCACCCTATATAACCGAGTTTTGAGGATAACCGCCCGATCCTTGGGTACTCCACCCTATATAACCGAGTTTTGAGGATAACCGCCCGATCCTTGGGTACTCCACCCTATATAACCGAGTTTTGAGGATAACCGCCCGATCCTTGGGTACTCCACCCTATATAACCGAGTTTTGAGGATAACCGCCCGATCCTTGGGTACTCCACCCTATATAACCGAGTTTTGAGGATAACCGCCCGATCCTTGGGTACTCCACCCTATATAACCGAGTTTTGAGGATAACCGCCCGATCCTTGGGTACTCCACCCTATATAACTGAGTTTTGAGGATAACCGCCCGATCCTTGGGTACTCCACCCGACCTATGACTTACCACATATCACACTAGATAGGGTCTATATCATATTTAGCCATTCATAACTAATCCAATACATAAAACTTATGTATCACATTCCATGCAAAGCCATGCAATTATGTAAATGTACAATTAATTAATATCGACCGGTATTAATTAATCCATTATCCACCGGTCAACGTGGTCGTTGACCGCCATTTCAAACCTTGTACAAATCAACTTAATCATCGCATAATTAAGTTAAAATATTCATTTGTGCTTCTAATACACTTCAAGCAAATATGCATTTTATATAATTCTTCATATCATATTCTATGCATAAACAATCTATTTCTTTCATACAAACTTAACTATGTTGGGTAATCACATGTTTAAATATCTTTTAAACATCATTATGCACACATATAACATTTATTTAGGTAATCTCATAATTGACCCAAAAGTTATAAGATATTAAGCCGTCCACTCACCTTGAACTAGCGTATGAAGTTCTACCCTTCTTGGTTGAACTCCGGTGAAACTCCGGCGACTTTTGGTCAACTCCGGCGAAAACTCCGGCGACTTTTCCAACTTTGTGAAATCACTTGAGATACCCTTTACAAGTGCCTAACAAGGTTTTAACATCATAAAACCTTAATCAATACAAATAACCTATAAAAGGTTATTTTCCGGTGAACCGGTCGTTTTGGCTTCTAAGTCCGTTCTTGGACATAGAATCACTTTCCAACCCATTAATCCATACTTATAGCATGTAGAACCATACTAGGGGTCCTTCACATGATATATACCTCATATGGTAGAAGAAAAATAAAGGAGAAGTTATAATAAGGTCATTACCTTAATTATTCACACTTTTCCCAACTTTTTCCCTCTTTAATCTTCCTTCTTGGAACCCTATGGCTTGAGCTCGAATTTTGGCTATGGAAGATGAGTTTGCAGAGGTCTCCTTGTTCTCTTGGTGTGCCTTGGCCGAAATTATGGGGTGGGTGAGTGAGGAGATAGCCTCTTTGGCTTTTCTCTCAAAATAATGTGGGAATGGGTCCTCCCCATTGTACTTTTGATGCCAAATGCATCTCCTCCTCATTTCCTCTTGTCAACCCAGCTCTCAATTGATGTGTTTAGCACATAAAAAAAAACGTGGGGTGGCCCCCACTCATGTGGGAGGTCATCCCTTTGTGTCCCGATGTGTACAATCGGTCCCGAAAGTTGTATTTTTCGGACTGTTTTAAATATATTTTATTTTATCAGGTCAAATAAAATATATTATGTGCTCTTACTCATTATGACATGTATAATGAATACACATTCCCAAACTTTAATTTATAAACCTCCGAAATTCATTTCCGGGCTGTTATCTGTTAAATTGTCGGTACCGGTAATTGGGCCTCTTTTTCCCAATCGGTCAACTCTGCGCCTTTTCACGACCCAAATAAAATATCCACCACTATGTAAATATTATCTTGACCAAGATGAATAAAATATGTGGTCTCGGGAGTGTCGGGCGGCCCCCGCTCCCGGTGTGGGTCCCACGTGCAATTTACTATTCACGCGAAAGAAATAATAAAAAATTTACAACCTCGTAAATTCATTAATCCTTTAATAAGGTTCAATACATTATTTACATAAAAGTAAATATATTTGGGGACGGTGTTACATTATTAGGTAATCCAATAGCTTTATGATTTGACAGGTATTCGGCACAAAAGTCAAGTGCTTCCTCTGCGGCATAAGATTCGGCTATGCATCCTTCAGGATGATAATGATTACGAACATATCCTTTCAACACTTTCATGCTTCTCTCAAAAGGATACATCCAACACAAGTAAGGCGGCCCACATAAACGTATTTGAGCAATGAGATGGACTGTCAAGTGAAGCATTATATCAAAAAAAGATGGTAAGAAGTATTGCTCAAGCCAGCACAATGTGACCCGATAGTCAGCCTCGAGTTTATCGAGTGAATCAAGATCCAAAACCTTCTCACAGATTGCATTGAAGAATAAACAAACACCTGTAATAGCATTCGTAACATTATCTGACACAGACAAATTTCGAATGGCCAGCGGAAGTATTTGTTGCATCAGTGTGTGGCAATCGTGAGACTTCAGACCTTGAAGCCGATTATCATCATCAGAAACAATGCTTTTAAGGTTGGAGGAATATCCATCAGGCACCTTTGTTTCAAGTATAGTTTGGCAAAATTTTCTTTTATCTTCTTTGGACAAAGTGTACGGTGCTGGTGGTATTGAATTACCATCAGGGACTAGCTTTTTCGTTATCTTGAGGTGAAGGAGATCATTTCTAGCTTTTGGACCGTCTTTGGTCTTTGTCGGTTGATCAAGTAGTGTGCCGTACATGTTCTCGCACACATTCTTCTCGATGTGCATCACATCTAAGAGATGGCGGATTAACAAATGCTGCCAATACTCCAAATCAAAGAATATTGATTTACGCTTGAAGAGCGTATTTTGGTTCGCATTCTTTTTAGCTCTTTTCCGTTTGCGTTGCTTTCCTCCACCTTTCCCGGGCTTATAGGCTACTCTCTCAACCACTTTGAGAATATCTTGACCGGAAGTAGTTTCAGGGGGTCCCCTTCGCTCTACTTTATTGTTGAAAACCTTCTTCATATCTCTAAATTTATGGTCATCCGGTAAGAAACGACGATGCCCCATGTAGGAACATTTCCTACTACATGGTAACCACACGGCAGAAGTGTTTGAGCCACAAATGGGACACGCAAAATAACCTTTGACTGTACAGCCAGACAGGTTACCGTATGCCGGGAAGTCACTAATAGTCCACATAAGAATAGCCCTCATTTTGAATGACTCTTTCCTAAAACCATCAAAAACGTCTACACCCTCATTCCAAAGAATTTTTAGATCATCAATCAAGGGCTCTAGGTAAACGTCTAGATCATTTCCAGGTTGTTTAGGACCCGATATCAATAGAGACAGCATCATGAATTTTCTTTTCATGGTCAACCAAGGAGGAAGATTATAGATGGCTAACTGAACAGGCCAACAACTATATGAGGAACTAAGCGAACTATGTGGATTGACTCCATCACTTGAGAGAGCCAATCTCAGATTCCTGGGCTCATCACCGAAGTCTGGCCACAAATTATCGATATGATTCCAAGCTGCACCATCAGAAGGATGGCGCAGCTTTCCATCTTTGACCCGATGATTTGCATGCCATGTCAAGTCTTCTGCAGTTTTAGGCGATTGAAACATACGCTTGAACCGAGGAATAGGAGGAAAGTACCATAACACTTTCTCAGGAATTTTATGGGAAAGAGTTATTGCTCCATTCTTCTTAACCTTAAACCTAGACTCTCCACATGTCGGACACTTTTCAAGGTCACTATAATTTTTATGATAAAGGATGCAATCATTACGACACGCATGAATTTTTTGATAATCTAGCCCTAAGACTTTCATTATCTTCTTAGCCTCATACATTGACTTGGGGATTGAGTTGTGAGGAGGTAATATCATTGAAAGAGCTTCTAATAAAGCGGTAAACCCTTGATCAGACCACCCATATTTCCCTTTAATGTTAAATAACAACATTACGCCAGACAACTTAGAATAATTAGAACCAGGGTACAAGGGTTTCTCAGAATCTTCAACCACATCCCTAAAACTTTTTGGATTGCTACCAAAGTCTTCAAACACGTTGTCTAACATATCCTCGATGTTGGTCTCATCATGAAATGTTGAACATGATTTCCTAGAACTTGTATTATTTCCAGACTCGCCATGCCTATTCCAAACAACATATGTTTCAAGAAAACCAACTTTAAACAAATGAACTTTGGCTACTTCAGGACTCTGAAAGTCTATGTTGCAACATGTTTTGCAAGGACACCTAATTGACCTGCGGTTTTCGGAGTTAAGAATGGCGAGGTGTATGAATTCATCGACCCCATTTTGGTATTCTAAAGACACTCTATTACCATACTTTATCCAAGACCTGTCCATCTCACTAATTCTACCTGCTATGTCAATAAAATACATATTAATAGTTAAGAAACCTCTTTATATTAACTGTCAATAATGAAAATAAACTTGAAGATAGAAAGAAAATATGAAAATAAACCTCCTTGAAAATAAACCTCCTTG